GGCGCTTTGGATTATAAGTAATATTGTATATGGAACATAATAATAAATATAAATTATTTTAGATAATGATGGAATCAATATTCTATTTTTGGCGCTTGAATCTAAATATGATGAAATTATTGAATTAGGAGTATGGGCATTAGCTAATATTGCTGGAGATAATATTCAGTTTAGAGATATGCTACTTTAGAAAGGAATAGTATTTTACATAAAAAAGATATGGAATTAGTATAGAACATTAAAATTTGAACTCTTCAAAACTATAGTTTGGGCATTAAGCAATTTGGCTAAAGGAAAACCGACATCTAAATTCGTAAATTATTTATTTATGGTAATAGTGCACTCATGGTTTAATGTCGATTCTATCTGAAATTATAATTAGTACTGATAATGAAGAGTAATTAATAGAAGCTATTTGGGGTTTGAGTTATTTAACTCAAGATATATATGAAATTCATATGGAAATAGATATGAAAGTTATTTAAAAATTAACATTATTATAGATGTAAGATTCTTTTAATCATACTAAATTCGACAAAACATACTTTAATAATTCCAGCACTTAGGATTATAGGTAATATTTTAACTGGTAATGATGAGTAAACAAATCAAGTTTTATAAACCGGAGTCTTGTCTCTTTTGAGAAATTGCTTTAGCATATAAAAAAATCAGTACTAAGAGATGTAAACACTTCTTATCCCTTATTTAAATAAGCTAAAAAAAATAATTTAGAAATTACAAAATAAATAGCTTTTTTTATATCTAATTCTGCTATTTATGCAGAATTAACAGATTTAGAATATCTTATTGCTAATTATGGATTTATTTAAGAACTCTCAATGTTATTAGATAAAAAGGATGAAAATATTATTCAAGTAACTTTTGAAGGGATTTACAAGTTAATTTCAAAAAGTAAAAATTTCTATATCAATAGTTTATGGAGGGAGAATTTTCAGTGTATAAATAAATAATTGAAGACTAAAAAATAATTAAAAAAGTAGTTTAGTTGTAAAGCCATCCTTCTGAAATCATTCATGAAAATGCTTCCAGAATTTTGGATCATCTAGCCTTAAGATTCATAATGAGATTTATGTTATTTCTTATTAATTTTAAATTATTTATTATTCAAATCAGTTAATTATCATTCAAAGTAATGACTACATCATACAATGTATTCTATTTATAAATTGAATATAATCCAATACTTTCGAATAATGTTTTTTTATAAAAATGGCCCTTAGATATTTATTTTAATAAGATAACAAAATTTATTCTTCAAAATTATTAGTTCGTTTTCGAAATTTAAAAAAGCATTAAAGTTATATCCTGCTATTAATTTTTAATGAAATTTTGAACAATTAAATATTTGAATTTACATAATTATAATTAGATATAAATAAAAATGATAGTCATTAAGATGAAATAAATAGTGTTTGTACAAAGTGTTTCTCAATCATTATCTAAATTTAAAATGGGAATCAATCTTTAATAATCAGATATAAGACGGTTAAATCTCTATGAGGATGCCATTTACTTGGTTTGACAAGGCTTTAGCTTTGAACTCCAGACATGTTAGTCCTTTATTGGAGAAAGGTAGATTTAATTTGAATTTAAATACAAGGTGCATGTTTATAAAGTTATTATAAATTAAATTAGATATAAAAAATTTACACAAATATATAAATATGAGGATGCCATTATTTAGATGTACAAAGCTTTAGCTATTGATCCTAGGAGTTGAAAATTATTTGAACATCAATTTCTAACTTAAAAGAATGCAATACTTAAAAATTCAACTACAAAACATTAATGCTCCCTGTACTATCACAGCCCTTTAAATATTAATCACATTGTTCATCACTTTTATAAGTATTCGAAGCAGTTTCACATTTTTTTTATTAACAATATTGACTACCCTACTAAAGTTCACATGCTCCATCTGATCCAATTAATTTATTGCATTCTTGCCCTTAACTTTCATATGTATTACATTCTTTCAAAGGACTCTCTGTACAACCTTATCCTTTTGAAATGCAACCAAACCTAAATTTAGAACATTCTTAATCAGTAGTCAATCTCGTTCCTGCTTCACTACATAATTCATCTCGGCATTTCTAAACTACATTGACAATTACTAGACCCTTATTTATTTACTTATATTTATCACTCGAATTTCCTGAATTCTCGCAAATATCTTAAGTCAAATATTCGATACACTATTTTGCATTTATACATCCATTGTGTTGATATCTCTTAACAATCAAATGTTGTAAACAACCTGTAAAAAATGTGCGACTTTAATTGTATTTGTTAATTATGGCAGAACCTTCAAAAAAAAAAGAGATGATAAAATCAAAATAGAAAAAGCCTTTTTAAAATCTTTTGTGATTGGTGAAAAATATAAATAAAAAAAAATTACATTAAATGAATGGATGAATGGGAAATCTAATAATCATTTCTTAAAAAAACTTCGCTTCAAGACTTTTATTCAACTTTTCTGGAATACAAATATTGAATCAAAAATGTTGTTCTGAAAATTAATAAATCTTATTTTATAATTGTGTTACTTTTGAACAATCAAGAAATATTTTTAATTTAGTAATTTTAAAGAGGAAATAAATATCAATGTAGAATATTATGGTATTTTTAAGGATTTATGACAATTCCTTAACCAAAATTAGTCATTATATATTTATATGAACAAAAGACCAAGATTTTTTCAAAATCAATTTAGATTGAATTCCCTTATGAAAACTAAATTTGAATTTAATGGTTGGAATACAAAATTTAATTAAATAAATAATCATAATTCAGAATTCATAATGAAAATAGTTTACTTTCATACTATCCTGGGTAATTGGCTTATCTTCCTATTTTAAGATAAAGATAGATTTTAGTGTGAGTGTCTTCATAGCGCAAAAATGTAGGCAGATGTTGTTATAATATAAAAATAAGATTAATTTTCATTAAACTAATTGTTAATAATTTTTATTAGCAAGTGGTTATCAGATAATTTAATAATCAAAAAATGATCTAAAAAATTAACTCATTAGGAAATTTAATCAATCATTTTACAAAAAATGATCTATTCTTATTTCTCTGACATTTTACTAATGATATTAATAATGTATTACGCTTCTCATTTACTACTCATCTCTAATTATCATTATTTATTTTATATATATAATATTATGATGATGATTATTATTATTTAGAATATTTCAATTCTGTCGATAGTTAGAACTGTATTTACTTTTAAATCATTCAACACCTTTTCACACTCAATATATTATTTAAATGATTTAAATTGTTCTAATCTCATTTTCACCTTTTCAATCTATTGATTATTCAAATAATTAATTTCTTCTACTATTTTATTATTATCTATTGTTAATTCATTTTTTATTAATAAATCTAATCCTTTAAAAAAACTACCTTCTTAGTAGTTGTCGAAACTACTTATCCAATTCTTTGTAATTTCAATCATCTAGTCTAATTATGAGATTATAAATGACTTTAATTCAATAATATTTAATATTACTTCAATTAATCAAGTTATTAAATATTATGATTTATTACCCTAAATCTTAATTTACTTATTTCTTCGTGATTTTCTAAGATAATTGAATAGACTCTATTCAATCCCATTGTTTTATGACTTGTTTCAAAATCTTATAAACAAAAATTGCATAAAAATCTTTCCTTTTAATATTAGCACATCTTAAACTTTATTCTGTTTCTTTTAGTCTGTAAGTATCATTATTTTTATATGTCTTTTGCTCATTAATAAGAAATTCTTTATGTTGTTCTGGAAATTGATATGAAATTTGTTTTGGCAAAGGTTTATATACGAATAACATAGATTATAATATATGGTTAATACTATGATAAATTAGTATCAACATAAAATAAAACAATTAAAGCTCAATCGACCTGACCCTCATCTTCCTTAGAAACTTAATCCTCTCCCTCAACCTCTTGTTGGGCTTGAACATGTACATCCGCCTACTCTTCTTTTTCTACAACATCTGCTGCACCGTCCTCTTTTTCCTAAAGTGCTTCTTCTCCACCCTCCTCTTTTGGAGCGATAACAGCTAGATATTCCTCCTCAGTTAATCCTCCAAATTTAAGATAACGTTCATATTCAAGATCCTCCTGATACATCTACTCCCATATTTCGTCAAGTTCAGCTTAAGTGAACTTTTTGTGTTAAGAACCCTATTAAGACATAATAATACAATAATAATATTAATAAGAAATAGGAGATTATACCGATTCATCACCCATAATAGAAATATAAAAAAAGAAATAAAAAAGATGGGTCTAGGAGTTCGAACTTGGGGTTGGGTTTGGGTTTGGTTGTTACTTATTTTAAACACCCTCTCTTCTATATAGTATAATGGTAGGGGCTGTTACAAATTTGGACAAAATGAGGAGGGGTTGGTCCTGACTGTCTATTCCTGTCTTAAGGGTTTGGGGTTGGGGTTGGGGTTGGGGTTGGGGTTGGGGTTGGGGTTGGG